ATTTTTTTTTTTTTTTTTTTTTTTTTTTTTTAATCCTTTTTATTCCTTTTTTTTATTTTTATTTTTATTCCTTTTTATTCTTATTTTATTTTTATCCCTTTTATGTGCTTATTCCTATTCTTTTTTATTTTTATTTCTTATTTTTTTGCCATAAATCCTTTTTTATATTCTTTTTTTTATCATTATTCCTTTTTATGCTTATTTTTTTTTTATTCCTTTTTATTATTATTTTCTTATTATCCCTTATTATTCTTTTTATTACTATTTTCTTATTATCCCTTATTATTATTATTTTATTGTTCTTTTGTTAATTATTTAGTGTATTTGTTGTTATTGTTGTTGCATTAGTTGCATTTTTTGCGAGTTGTGTTTCGCCTTCTGCGGTGTATATACAGCTTCCTTTTTTTTTTCTCCCCTTTCATACAGGCAGCAGTTATTGCATTAACTGCTGTATGGGCACGTAAGGCAGATAAATGCCCTGTAGTTAGCCAAGGAGAAGGGATGATCATCACCTGCTGCTGCCCAGGTATGTTGCTGCTCTCGAGGGTTTAGGGTTTAGGGTTTAGGGTTTAGGGTTTATTTAGTGTTGCTGATTATATATATACACTTTATATACACTACAAATAAAGGAAGAACAGCTGCTGTATTTATTGCATATTTCTTCTTATCTTTATTATGCATGCGTTCTCTTTGTCTCTCTGTATATCTGCATGCATAGATATAAAATGCCTGCATGCAGCTATTATTATATCTATGCATGCAGCTATAAGAACAGGCAAAGTATATTTGCATGCATATGTTATGCCCGTTCTTCTTTTATGTTGCCTCTTCCTATTTATATTATAATTAACCGCTTTCTCCATCTTATCTAGGGTTTATTAGGGTTTATTAGGGTTTATTAGGGTTTATTAGGGTTTATTAGGGTTTAGGGTTTAGGGTTTGTATGTATATACAGGTTGGTGTAAGACGGATCTTGGTGGATGGGAGGCACCACCATTAACAGCAGAAGATGGCGCAGGATTTGTTTCCTCATTAGCATTAAGAGCAACAAAAGAGCAGCATGGTAAATTCGTTAAGGAAGGGAATACTATTGATCTACGCGAAGATTAAATGCAGCAGCAGCAGCACCAGCAGCAGCAGCAGCAGCAGCAGCAGTAACAGCATCAACAGCAGTAGCAGCAACAGCAGCAGTAGCAACAGTAGCAACAGCAGCAGTAGTAGCAACAGCAGCTGCTGCAACAGCAGCAGCAGAGAAAGTTGTTGTGATGTGGGCAATCTAATTGCTAGCAGATGAACATGCTGCTGCTGCTGCTGCTGCTGCTGCTGCTGCATCTTTGCCTTCTTGCTGCAGCAGCAGCAGCAGCATCTTTATTTTCTTGCTGCAGCTGCTGCGGCAATAAGGGGCTACTTGCAAGCTACAGCGCAGCTGTATATACACCATAAACCCTCATATATAATGCTGCTGTATATATTGTATCTATTTACGGTGTATATACACCTAATTGTATATATATAGTATTAAGATCTGCTGTATAGGCGACGGCCCCACACTTCCTTCTCAGGTGTATAGGCAGCTTTAGTAGCTAGCAGCAACGTGTCTTGTAGCATCAAGACAATAAAAGACACAAAGACAACAAAATAAATGTACAGGGGAGGGGGAGGGGATAACTATAAGAGGGAGACACAGCAGAAGGGAGAGAGAGGAGAAGACAAGTACATGCAAGTCAAGGGAGAGGGACAGACAGAGGAAGAGGGGGAAGGAGAGAGACAGAGGTAGGTAGATAGATAGATAAATATACATATAGAGATGTACAGATGGATAGATATAGGTAGGGGGAGGAAAGAGGGAAAGGGCCGATGGTGCGAAGGTGGGGAGAGGGGAGACAGAAGAAGAAGGGCAGCAGCAACAGTTATTGAGCATTTATTACATATATAATATATACAATATATATTATATATATAATATATATAGTATTGTTACTATATATATAAGAGGAGGCTGTGCATGCATGCACGTAAGGCGGGGTACCAGTGTAAGAAACAAGCAAATATCCATCAAGGGCATACACCCCACAATATGTTATTCCTCCCTCCCCTCTCTTATAATCCCTGGTAATACGTCATGGGGGCCCTCGGGGCCCCTTGGGGCCCCATGACTGGCCCTAGGGGCCCTGGGGGCCCTCAGGATATTCCTGAGGGTTTGTCTTGTATAAGCCCTCTGTGGTTATTGACGAACTCTTAGTCATGTAACAAAATATTTATAATTTTTATTACTTTTACGCCCTTTTCTCCTTATATACTAACTTATTTCCCCTTAATTGTTTCTTCTTAGCTAAGGTATTTGTTGCTCTTTGTGGGGTTATTTACGTAAACCTTGTAAGAAAAGGTATTGTATGCTGTGGCGACTCGTACATCCGTCTAAGGTGTATAGGCAGCTTAAATAGTGTATCTTAGTCAACTATTAGGGGATATGCACAATAAAATGTTCTTTAGCAACTCGCCCTCTTGCACACCTTCTTGCATAGCTTGCCAAGCCAATACAACAAGCCTGCCTGGGCTAAGCCTTGGAGTTCCTCTCGGGGATTTCCTTCGCGTTCTTCATACATCCCCGTGGTGCTTGAGGGTTTATACGCTTGTTCCTGGTGTACAAGACTGGCTGTCAACAACAAAACCTACCTATCTTCGTGAGAGAGGATGTCTATTCGTTATTGATCAAAGTTGGGTAGGTAAGACACCAACAAGGCCCCAACAAGACAAGCAAAATGACGACGGTGCATTTGGCTAGCACTTTCTGTGCGACGCAAGATCAGCCCCTAGTTGGCTAGTTCTTCACACCGAAATCAATCTGGGCAGAGCCCCAACTTTGCATGCACAGCTAATTTCGGTGCGATGCACCCAACGGATGATTGTATCGTTAACTGCCCGTTGACGCTCCCTCCATCTTCGCCCCGTCAATTGTTGTTTTCCCTAAAACGTTAACTGCATCAAATCCCTTGACAATGAATGTCTGTAAGAGACTGTGGTGATGGAATGTGTGTGTTTCTTCCCCGTTTCCTGCGGCGTGTTTACGATGCACGGGGCAGACTCGTCCCTGCCCTTTTGGCACACTCACTCTACTATTTTCGCCTTAGAAGATACGATTGTTTTGGGGACAGATAAAAGGTTCATTTGCTCATTTCCTCCCCTCACATGCATCTCAAAAGCGCCTTCTGCGGGTAGCATGCGCGTCCTCCATTGAGTTGCGCCCCTCATGCCCACGATTGTGCCGTGGTGGGCTAGCCCATCGAAAAAGTCCCGTATCATGGAAACGCGACCCATTGCTATATTGATCTCGCTCTGATAGCCCATGGGTTCAGTGTTTCGAGGGTGCAATGTGCCATCGGAAAGGGATTAAGCTTAGATTTGCCTGCAATGAAAAAAATGCAGGTTGCCCCTCCTCCCATGAGCTGTAGATATAAGGTACACTCAACCGCCTGTTCCAAGTCAACGAATGTGACACCATTCTTATTGAATAATGGTCCCGGCAGCCGCAGTCTCCGCATCGCCGAATGAGGGTACTGCGCCGGTTTCGATGCGACGCGGCACCCACCGTTGGCCGCCACACTCGCGTAGGCAGGTTTCAGGCAATTCATCATTTTCGACAGATACTGGGGCTCAATTGTAACAACGAGCTGTGAGTAACTTCAGCGATATTGTTCCGCTGGGCCCTTTTACTGCAAGCAATGTTGTGCATCATGCCCCCAGCTCTGTAAGCGCGGTCCGGTGTTCACGCCTTCTCGAAGGCTCAATGCGGTGCTAGCAGATGGGAAGAGCGTTATCAATCTTAGTTCAGGGCACACAAAGACTGATACGGAGGATGTGTTGCCTGATATGAATACCAGCCTACCTTGCTTTTACTAATCCTGCAAGGCAAGCTAACGTGCAAGTACTGCCAAGCCCACTGTACCAGACGCACTACCGCTGTATACAGTTGTTTCACACTTTATTGGCAATCAGCGGTTAATTTTCACGGAAAAAGAAATACACGCAACGGCTTCAGACAGAGCATGCTTCATCAGACACTCCGGAAAGGGTGCCGCGCTGACCAGTGGCATGTATACCTGGGCTGCTTGAGGGTTATGCGGCCGGCTGCAACACTGCAAATGAGCGGGGTAGCCAAATGAGGCCTGGTTCATTTTCTGTATTTTGTCGGTTTTCCCGGCATCTCTAGCAGCGTCATTCTTCCCCCCAATAATATCTCTCTCGCTTTCCCTTTTGATCTGCGACTGAATGTATGTGTGTGTGTGTGTGTGTGTGTGTGTGTGTATGTATGTATGTGTATGTGTATGTGTGTGTGTGTGTGTGTGTGTGTGTGTCTGTCTGTCTGTCTGTCTCTCTGTCTAGATGTGTGTGTGTGTGTGTGTGTGTGTGTGTGTGTGTGTGTCTGTCTGTCTGTCTGTCTGTCTGTCTGTCTGTCTGTCTTTCTGTTTGTCTCCCTGTCTAGATGTGTGTGTGTGTGTGTGTGTGTGTGTGTGTCTGTCTGTCTGTCTGTCTGTCTTTCTGTTTGTCTCCCTGTCTAGATGTGCGTGTGTGTACAAATGTGTGTGTGTGTGTGTGTGTGTGTGTGTACAAGTGTGTGTGTGTGTCTCTGTCTGTCTGTCTGTCTCTCTGTTTGTCTCTCTGTCTAGATGTGTGTCTATATGTGTGTGTGTGTGTGTGTGTGTGTCTGTCTGTCTGTCTGTGTGTCTGTCCGTCTGCCTGTCTGTCTGTCTGTGTGTCTGTTTGTCTGTCTGTCTGTGTGTCTGTTTGTCTGTCTGTCTAGGTGTTTGTGTGTGTGTGTGTGTGTGTGTGTGTGTGTGTGTGTGTGTGTGTGTGTGTGTCTGTCTGTCTGTCTGTCTGTCTTTCTGTTTGTCTCCCTGTCTAGATGTGCGTGTGTGTACAAATGTGTGTGTGTGTGTGTGTGTGTGTGTGTCTGTGTGTGTGTGTGTGTCTGTCTGTCTGTCTGTCTCTCTGTTTGTCTCTCTGTCTAGATGTGTGTCTATATGTGTGTGTGTGTGTGTGTGTGTCTGTCTGTCTGTGTGTCTGTCCGTCTGCCTGTCTGTCTGTCTGTGTGTCTGTTTGTCTGTCTGTCTGTGTGTCTGTTTGTCTGTCTGTCTAGGTGTTTGTGTGTGTGTGTGTGTGTGTGTGTGTGTGTGTGTGTGTGTGTGTGTGTGT